TACTTGGCGAAAAAATTGTTCGGGCACTTATAATCGTTATTTATAATTAAATGGTATATTTTGATCAAAAAAATAATTGTCTTTTTTATTCTATGCCTTTTTTAAATTATTGGTTATAATCCTTGCATTTTATTGTAGAAGAAGTATATGGAGAAGGAGCGCATACCAGATGAGATGTTCTAACAACATTACTATTGGCTGGCTTACACATTCTTGCAAATCATCTGCTGGCCAAGCGTTGACATGCGGGTGCAGCCAGATATCATCACAAAAATAAACTTGCCCATTACGGTCAATGATTGATTCTGAATATCATTTAAAATTAAAAAAAATATCCATTTAAAATTGAGCAATGTATATTACGAATGACTACGTTTCTACGAATGACTAGTACTAGGATCTACGTAGACTATTGCGCCGAATAGTGAGCGATTTCATGGTTACTCAACCGCATGTTACAGAATCTTCCAACATTGAACATGTGAATGAAGATTCCTTTCGCGAATCGCGAAAAGTCATGTACATGTATGTCTATTGACACCTCGCAGGCATATAGAACTTCTTTATGCACACTATCAGCAATGAGTGCTCGGAAGGCTCCATCAATATTTGCTCAATCACGGATTGTATTATTAAGATCAACTTCTTCGTCGAAGGCATTGCACTTCAACAATTACAAGAGAAGGGTTGAAAAATGGTACGTAATGATTAGTCGAAACAATATTCGCGCCTCGTTAATTCTCATGTATGTCATTTATCATGGAAAGGGCGATCGAATCACATATCTTCATTTGCAAGTTTAGGAGAAACTTCTTGACGTTCTATGCCATTTTTGCGCAGGTCAAAATGCGTATGAACTGCGACCACTGCATCCAATGTTATACTGTCCCTTTAATTCCACTTTTTCTTCTGGACCACTCCTGTCGGAAGACACATTGGCCTTCCGATTCCTGGCGTCGTGGACGTCAATTTCCTGCGTCAGTTGCAGTTTCTCCAAGCGATCTTGGATATTGCAGCGCATTCAGTCATTTCCTTCAACCTCGACTCTGATCGAAGAGGAGGTAGCCACTTCAGCAGGTACAACAATTCAAGTACCATGGTGGAAGACAATATCGACATAATCGGTGGCATCGTGGAACGGCCAGTGACTGCAAGATGCACTTCGTCAATGGATACCGGACACATCCATGATCAACCTGCATCACATGAAGTGACCTTTCTTAGAGGCTCTACCACTATATCAGTACTGTTAAATTATTCGTTTCTTTTCGCAAATGCATTATTTATGTACAGACTATGTACACACTTTGTAAACATCATTTTGTATCATTAGCATAATGATGTCTATTTAATTATTGCGTTAAATAATTGTTATGTCTACTCCACGTCATTCAGATGTCGTATATATGTAAATATTTTGCTTAGACCTTCAGTCAACTAATCAAGCCAATTATATTCTAATAAGAATCGCGGGAATCTCAGCCCCAGTGAGAATCAGAATCATTCGCAATCATTCAGAACGAACGAACTAGAAGGAATCAGCCAGTCAGAATCAAGCACTCAGAATTGTCAGAATCAGGTGTATCCTCGTGCAGGAACTCCGTTAGTTTTATTATTACGTTTTGTATCATTTTATACCTATTAAATCTTGATTGCATAAGTATTCTTCGCGTTCTGTCATCAATTTTAATCTACGTTGGACAAACCGTTCCACAGTCCACTGCAACACAATACTTAGTACAGAATACAAGTCGTACAAAACGACTTAACATTTTGGTCCTTCGAGCAAGTTTCATAAAATGACTCAAGACAAATATTTCTGCAACAGATTTCTGGACGAGACAACTTATTCAATTTTTCTTTATCATAATTGAAAGTAAGTCCAATCATAAAGTTTGATATTTAATAACAACAGTGAAATATTTTGCGCACTTGTCCTCTCCAGCTGAACAAATACAAATATATTCAATTAGTGAAAGTCATTCATTATGGAAATACATACATATATATTTTGTAACATATTCAGATTTATTGTAACTTGTAACTTATATATATTTTATAACATATCGATTCATTATAGAATTTACATAATTCATGTAATTACTAAACGTCGTCAACTAAAGTATTTAATCTTCATCCATGACAACTCGTAAAGCCGTAAACATAGACATCACGTTCGTGATGAACTGAAATATCAAATAGTTGTCTAAATTTCTGCATAGACACAGACTCCAATGAAATGTATTAAGAACAGAAATCATTCTAGTACCGAGCAATAATAGTTTAATGAGAAAGCTGGAATGATACATCTGATCTGTAAGATCACCGGCGACTGAGGTATCATCATTAATAATATAAATTTTTGTACTTTCACAGGTTGATCATACCATTTTGATTCGTAAACTGCTCGCATAGCGTTTTCACTCTGATAACAGAAACATGTTTAGTCGTAACATTGAATGTGAAAAATTGAAATTAAAAGATGTGAGAAAACTTACTACGTGTATTAAGTTGTCAGCTGGCCATGCGCACATGAATACCCCCAACAGTACAGTAGAACAAACGGAAAGAAATTGAAGCTTTACAGCAAATGGTTGTCGCTGTTTGTTAAATTTTAATAATAATAATCAGAGTTTATATAATCTAGTACAGTGTAACATTCCCATCGTACTCACTCCAATAAGAATGACACCGGTAAACACGCTTTCTATGCCACAAATGCTCAGCGTAATCAGAGTTGTGTATCGAGCTGTATTCGTTACTTCTTTTGCATAACTAAAACAACATGTTTTAAACATATATACATTCTCTTTTTAAACATATATACATCAAGATATGTATAACAGGTCAATATTAACGCGTCCTTTTTTAAAAAATATCTTCACATAGTGTAGCAATTTAATTAACCAAGTACATCATTTTCCGTTTTTTAACATATAATGATCGCTTAGCTTATTTTCCTGGTTTTACGCTGGAGTGAAATTATTCGTATTAGAAGAATGTGATAAAATATTGTAATGTCATTAAATTGTGATATATTGTGATATAATTATTATGCATAGTATATTAATCTCGTTGTTGGCCATTCATAGTGACCAAAGATATTTCCCCAGAAGCAAAAGATATTCAGTTTACTTCGATCAGAGAATATTACATATTACTATGAAAATCCATATTAAACATATCTAATTTAAAAACTAGGACTTCGCGAGGAAATTGTTTTACACACCAAACATTATAAAAAGAACTATACACTGTACTAGGTATGCATATACTTTTATGTCTGGACATATTACTATATATTTCAATATTTTATACCTTTCTTTCCATCTTATATTCATTCTGTACAATTTCGTAATTTCAAGTATTCTACAAATGCACGAAAATCTGTAGTCTAATTGTAATTCGTAGCAACAATATGAAATGTGTGAGAATGTCCCAAAAAACAAGCGTGCCAATAATATTTCTGCATTTACAAAATTCTATGTTCGCAAACTTTATATTCACAGAATCGTCGCCTACCTTTTTATATCGTAATACTTCTTTACACATTTTACGAACGATGAAATATTGTTGACGGTGCGCATTTCGTTCATCAAAATCTCGAAACGTGCTGCAGTGAAGAGCAGCAATAATGCGCAAAATATGTTAATACATATAGATGACGAGCACTGTAAACCTGTAATTGCTTGTTGCAAGAAAATGATGCTTCTTATGGGTTCGAAATCGACTGGGAATGGATATTCTGCCGGCGTTGGGAATGGATCGGATATGAAAAGCGTTCCAATAGAAACGATGGATCCGCTCCAATAAAACCAAACTGCAGACGCTGCGTAGTACATGGCGTACTTGTCCACGTATTGTTGGAAGACACGTCGTTCATCTGAACTTCCTTTCTCACAGCAAGATTTCATCTCTTCGATTAATCGCTGAAATACGTCACTGCAGTCATTAAATTTCGAGACGACTATTAATCCCGGCGCAGACGAGCAAATTCGTCGCACACTGGTAAGTTAAACTGCATTTTGCAATTATTAATTTGTACGAAGTACTTCACGCAGGTAACAAAGCGGCGACTTGTATCTACCTGTCAAAACGTATTGGTTGTGAATTGTAAGAATGAAAAGTTGGTAGTGAAACATTACATTAATACAGAGTATGTCCGAATAACATGTACAAACCAGCAGGGAATGATTTCTCACAAAAGAATAAAACAAAAAAAATTTGTTGATTTGTGACTTCGTTTTCGAGCAGATTTATCGAGTAGATTCCAAGTTTGTTAATTATACACATGGCGGCATAGAATAATTAAGAGTTATTAATGTTATTTTATGTACAAAAGTAAGTAAAAAATGTAGGGTAAAATTTTCATGTAAGATACTTCGTTTTCGAGAGAATCGAGTTTGAAAATTTATCAAGTATATATGTATCATGGCGAGTTTTAACGAGATGTATTCAACTTCTTTTTTTTTTAATAAAGCTTTAAAAGAAAAATTTTTATTTTACATTTTTTATTTATTTTTGCACGTAAGGCAAGTGCTCCTTAGCATTAGCTAAATTCAAGACTAGTTGATAAATCTCCAAAGTTGAAAACGAAGCCTCAAATCAATAAATTTTACTCTATATGTTTTTTCTTATTTTCTTTTGTGAACGTGAATCATCTTCTGTCTGTACATGTTATTCCTCTACGGATGAATCCAGACGAGCGGTTTTTATAATTTGTTGTAATTTAGACACAACGTTTTTTAGATACGATACAGTAAATTAACGTAAATCATTCGCGTGAATTATAAGAGAAAGTTGGACACGCGAACTTAGAGGCAATGTAAATTTGCCGCTCGTCTGTCTCGGGTCTTAAGGATGAAGACTTACCTGATATCGATCGTATTGACTGATACAAAAGGAAGAATGTAAAGGTATCTGTAGAACAGCAAGTGCTAAAGAGACTGTCTTGCAAAACATCGCCGGATCTTCACGGTGCACGTATATTGCATATAACAAGGGAAACAAGAGTAAAAGCGAGTTGAGGAACAGCACGGATCTCAAAAGTTTGTAACGAAGTATTCGAGATTTGGTAGCTGTTGGTGGAAGTGGCCAACAGTGGCTCAGTGCCACGATAGATTTGACAAAAGTAATTGCCTTTTCCGGCGTAACATTTCGAAACATACGGCGTAACATTACCGACACGACGTCGAAACCAACTATGATAACGTTAAACAGTCACAATACCTTAACTTCGATTGTAATACGTTGCCTTGAATTAATTTATGAAAATTTCATTTCACTCATTCAATCGATAGCCAAATCATGCGAAGGTAATGATTGAGTTGCACGTACAACCCTTTGAGAATATTCTTGGTATAGGGGAAATGAAATGCAAAAGTACCTGTGTTGCAACACTAATAATACCTGTGCGTAATTATTTTTTCATGCGCGGTGACTGCTATAGAAGATATTGCACGTAGAGTTGGTTGCAAATTGATAGATACCTCCTGTAAAGCACTACACTTAACATAAATTTGAAATGTAATTATTTACGTAAATTAACGTTACTAGAAATAACGATTGCGGAATCACGTTCAAGAGATGATACCCTAGGTAAAGACGTACAACTGAACAAATTCATGTCGAGTGAATCATAAACTGTTACTGCTAGATAAAAATACTATCAATGAAACGGAAGCGAATTGTTAGTCATTACTGTTACAATATCGAGAATTCTTGGAATTCTTATTATATGCTTGTGTGTCATATTCATAAAGAAGCAGTGTCCATAATTGATTAGTCAAAATGTTTAGTGAGTTTTAATTATGATTACTTCAATAGTTGTTCATTGGCGTGAATTCGAACAGCAGTTAGAACGCATCATCTCGAAATAATGAAAATGAAGAGGGCAAGTACTGAAATTTGTTATTTAATTTCTTTATCATTGTTCATATCACTTTGTGAAATGTCTACGCTTAAAAAAGTGTAATA